GCTTGCCTACCAAAATGAGGAGCAGGCGGAAGATGGACCTGCTGAAGTCGCAAAGAGATTCAAAGATTGCTGATAACATTTTGATTGATCAACTTAATGTAACTGCTCATTCATTAGATGATAGACCACATGATCTCAAGGTTACTATTTCTGGTCATGACATAAATTTTCTTGGATACTGGATCCTGTATTGTTTACTATGTATGTTTATAATTGCAGGAGCAGCATTCTAATTGCCTATCTTGGCATAAATTGCGTAGATGGTGTGTTTTTGAGTGGCTCTACAGTGCAATTGATTTCCCATGGTTTGCAAAATGTGAGTTTGTAGAGTACTTAAATCACGTTGGATTAGGTCACATTCCTAGATTGACACGTGTTGAATGGGGTGTTATTCGAAGGTATTTTTTTTCAACTTGTCCATTCGTATCCTGTTGACTCATTTCGAGACACTATCTATAGAAGACCAATATTGTAGTTTTGTCTTGATTCAGTTCCCTTGGGAGACCGCGGAGATTCTCTGCACAGTTCTTGAAGGAAGAAAAACACAAGCTAAATCAATATAGGGAATCTGTTAGGAAACACTATGCTGAACTTCGTGCAGGCACAAGGGAAGGACTTCCAACCGATTTAGCTCGGCCATTATCTGTTGGACAGCGTGTTATTGCCATTCATCCAAAAACAAGAGAGATCCACGATGGAAGTGTACTTACTGTTGACTATAGCAGGTGTCGTGTTCAGTTTGACCGACCTGAACTTGGGGTTGAATTTGTCATGGTAATTATGTTTTCATGATTTCTTTATTTTTATGGTTTGTTCATTTGATAGAATTGAGATTGCCATAGATCCTTACAGTTTCATGTGGGCGATCTCATCCCCAAGTATTAAGGATTCCCAAATAAGACAACGGTTTAAACTACATGTCAGAAACAAGAGACACTGTTTTCTGACAGGTTTCTTAATTTTAGATGATGATCATAGGCATAACACTTTGCTTAACGTTGGTATTTTCCACAGAAAAAGAAGCTCACTTCTTATGGATTGTTTTATTTTTAGTTATGTATGTACGATTAATATATGAGTGGCATGGTTTGACTCCTCCATCACAGGATATCGAGTGTATGCCTTTAAATCCAGTTGAAAACATGCCTGCAAATTTGTCAAGACATGGCGTGACTCTTGATAAGATATTTGGTAATCTCAATGAGGTTAAGATTAATGGCTTACTGAAGGAAGCGAAGATTGAAGACTATATAAAATCAACCAGTAACGATAAACTTGAAAGCACTGATGGTTCTGTGTTTATTTCCCCTTCCACTCATCATATCAACAAATTAATTAAACAGGCAAAGGTTAGTGTTCTGCTTTTTTTTTTTTTTTTGAATTAGATGATATGCATTAGTAGCTTATTTGAGCATATTTCTCCACGTCATCACATTGGCATGCTACCATGGAGCTAAGGTCATATTATTATCAATATAGAATTATAGATTACGTAATTGAATTGTATTCTTCTACATTTCAGACATGCATAATTGGATTCCAAAATCTGCATTATTTCAACTGAAAACAATGAATGTCACTATGATAGACCTCTAATAAACACAGGTAATTCAGCCTTATCTAGAGCTTTTAGAGGAAGTCAATAGAATCAAGTATTCTTACAGACGATATCCAATAACCAATGCTCAAGTCTCCTCCCATCTGGCAGCTTTGTCCTTCAAAAACTGTAATTCCTTTTCGACCAATCCTTCCAAAAAGAGCCTTAATTGTACGCATTTAAAAAACCCTAGCTTTATTTTACCTTTTGTTTTTCTAAATACTTTTTGAATACTTCTTATTCCTCTATTGGTGTTCTGTCATTCTTCTGTCTTATACACTTAGTTTCATAGAATAACAAAGACTCGTCTTAATTCTGGGGTTTTGAGATAACTTGAGTTTGGCTTGAAATGCTTACTCTATAGTTAGGCCTACACATTATTATTGACCTGCCGGTAAGTGATAAAGGAATTGTTCGTGGCCAGGTCGACCTTGGGTGCTCTAATCTACGAACTAAATTTGGGCTTAATGAGACTGTCGGTATCCAACAGGAGGCAAGTTCCCAACTTTCTGTCCTTGCTCAAATTCAAGCTAAAGAAGCTGATGTTCATGCTCTGTCTGAATTGTCACGTGCACTTGACAAGAAGGTAGTTCATCATATTAGCTTCATATTATCAACTTTATGTCAAGATTTCAATTATAGGAAAACAAGTGTTATATTGCAGTATCAAAAAGAAATTACCATTTTTGAGGATTCTCTCTCTCCCAAGTCCCACAATGGACCAACTCCCATTCCTCCAATCTTCCTAATTCCCTCCATTTATAATCCAACAAAACCCTCCTAAGTAATTACCATTATATCTTTAATAGTATCCTAATGACATTCCCTATACATTTTCATTAATACTTGTAACATTTTATTTGTCCTACATTTTCATTAATACTTGTAACATTTTATTTGTCCTACGCTGGGAGAGACTAGTTTGGAAGGTAGAAATCTATTTTGCTTTAACCTTTACATCAAATTGAATGTTTTTTAACCTGACTGATGCGTGCCTAAATCTAGGAGGTGGTGGTGTCTGAATTGAAGCGCTTGAATGATGAGGTGTTGGAAAACCAAATAAATGGAGACAACTTGCTCAAGGATTCAGAGAACTTTAAGAAGCAATATGCTGCTGTGCTATTACAGTTGAATGAAGTTAATGAACAGGCATGCGTTTTAATGATCCCATTTCCAGCTTAATCCCATTTTTTTTTTATTCAAGTGCTTATTTTTCTTAGTATATATAGGTCTCCTCTGCTCTGTATAGCTTGAGGCAGCGCAATACGTATCAAGGGACTTCACCATTGATGTTCCTCAAGCCAGTGCATGATTTGGGTGACCCTTGCTCTCATGCTCAAGAACCCGGTTCCCATGTGGCTGAAATTGTGGGAAGTTCCAGAGCAAAGGCTCGAACAATGATCGATGAAGCAATGCAGGTTTAACCTTTACTATTATCTAACCATTTTGATCATCAGTTGGTCGGTGTTTAGGTATTATGAATAGTCTATCTTCCGCTGGATGTTCATGTAAATAATGGACATACTTGTCTAGTTAATTGTTAACTATTATGAATTTTCACAAAACTATTAATTATTAAATTACTTCGTAGCACTAATTTTTTCTTATAATTTCAACTACTTGACTGCATAAATCAAATTTCAACTAGAACAATCTGTAGAATAAAATACACAATTTCATTTCCCAAACATTAATTCTCTTGCATTTCCATATATGTATCTTTAAGATTGTGTACCTTTTAAATCCCATATTTTAAACCCTCAGATATTTAATATCTATATCCATTGAACAAAATTCACTATCCAATCAAACCATTAGAGAGACGTAATGTACTTCATGATATTTAGATTTGCTTAAAAGTAACTGTGATTATCATGCATGTACTTCAAGTCTTTACACTGTAAAATTTCATCAAGTTATTGAATCATCCAAGTCCTAAATGCTTCCTTCAGAGTCCATGTTGGAGATCTCTTTCCCTGTAGATTTTGTGCTTCCTCTGACTTCATTTTCTGTTAACAATCATTTCAGGCAATTCTTTCTCTGAAAAAAAGAGAAAGTAATTTGGAGAACATTGAAGAAGCCATTGATTTTGTGAGTAATAAACTCTCAGTAGATGATTTGGCCTTGCCAACTGTGAAATCAACATCAGCAGATACTAGTAACGCCACTCCAGTATCTCAGAATCATTTCAATGCGGGTGCATCAAACCCATCAGCTGCTAATTATGTAGTTGGTTCCAAGTCCAATAGCCCATCCGACAAGCCTGAAGTGGAGATCCCTTCAGAACTTATTGCGCACTGTGTAGCTACTTTACTCATGATTCAGGTAAAGGGAGCTTCATTCGAGTCTTCCTCTCAATTATGTATTATTTGTCAGGAATGATGTTGAATCAATGATCTATGACCCCAATTTGTTTCTGATTTTCTGTTTTGCATAAATAAGAAGATTTGGTTGTTTATTCATCACAAACTGATTCAGTTCAAGGCGATATTAGAAGAGGGACTTCTTACACTGTAACCGTTGACAAATTGGTGTTGCAAATTTTTCTTGTTTTGTGGAAATGCAGGGAAATCGTCTCATTAGACTTGTCGAGTATTATTGTGATCTTGCATATTGTTGGTTGCGAATCATGTACATAATAGTCAAGTACTTTTAGCATGCTTGGTTCTCGTTTCTCTCACGTATGAGGATAATAGTTTTTGATTTCCAAATCCTGATTGTTGCTATAAACATGCAGAAATGCACAGAACGACAGTTTCCGCCAGCTGATGTTGCTCAGGTACTGGATTCTGCTGTCAATAGTTTGCAGCCATGTTGTCCTCAGAACCTTCCACTATATGCAGAAATACAGAAATGCATGGGAATTATAAGGAGCCAGATACTTGCGCTTATACCTACATAGGTTCAAATCCGCTTCCCATGTGTTGAGACAAATTGAAAAGGTGAGTAAATATGTCTTAGATATAATATTTTGGCCTCACTTTTTGAATTATAAATGTGTATCTCCTTGGCTATCAGTTTCTTTGTCTGACTGTACCATAGACTGGAATTATGTATAAATCCTTGTAGTTTGAGCAAATTGTAGTTTCATTGAATGAAAATCAATCTTCTACCTGCTTCTGCATTAGTCGTATTGTTCCTTCCTCTTTTTAATCAGCTTAAGTACTTTTCCTTTAGGGGTAGCTTAGTTACTTATAGCTTCATGATTTTGGGTTAGATTTTGAGACTATAACCTTCATTTTCTTTGGGGATTATTAATCCTTTGAACTAAAAGTCTAGAATATCTAAGCTGGTAGAAAATTAATTATGTTCAAGGCTAGTTGTAAACGCTTAGAAGCAAATCACTGACTTGAAGAGCCATATAAGCGATAGAAGCCATGAATGTATAGGGAAAAAACTTCTCTTACCATCAATTGAATTCAAGCCATTGGATTTAAAGAAAGTTGCAATTTCATAACAAAAGAATGTTGCAATATAAGAAAGGGAGGCTAAACAGCGATTTTTCGCAAAGTGAAACCAAGTCAATCAAGTGTTTTAGGCTCATGAATCTGAGATTTAATAGTTTTCCTTGTTCAAAATACCAGGAACAGCAACCCTATAGGGCTTAAAAACTGCCTTGTCGATTCCTTTTTCAAGTTATTCCCCATTCTTCAGAAGACTGAACTATTGGCAGTTATTAGGAAGGTCCATGTCTTGTTTCAGCTCATAAGTTCAACTTCTTTTTGGGCTTCTTCCCCACACTCGGAGTCCTCAACAGTCTGCAGCACAACAGATTTATCATGAGGAAGTAGAGGCAACACTAGAACTATATAGAGCATAAACAAAACCATTTAGGAATTTCAACCTTTGGCTTTTCATTCTCTTCTTGTTCCTTTTCTTTTGTTTGTTAGGCTCAGAATTCATGGCTTCCCCTTCATCTAAATAGCCCTGTACCATCACCATAACCGGTTAAATTTTACTAGAATGATGGAGCACCAACACAAGAGCTCCAGTGAAAAAACCTTAGGGTCGTCGAATGAGTCCACATGGTGAATATTTTTGCCAGAACCTGAAATGCTACCTGATAAAACATCATAGGTAGTGAGGAGAAGAGAAGGTTCGAGATAGTGTTCAATCATGCATCTTCAAAACCTCAAAAACTTCCATGAGTTCAACGATTGCGAATTCTCGCATGGTGGGACATTGAACTATCATACATATTACATTAGTATCTTATCCACTTATCTATGATAGATACTCTGATTGGCAACTTCAAAGCTTGTCAGTCGTAGCTTTTTTTTTTCAGGAAAAGGGCATCAATGAAACTGTTTCTTTCTCGGGGGAGAACACGGCAAGTTCTCTCCCCTCTCTCTCTATGTAGTCTTTAGATTTCATTGCCAAGAAGTGCATCGATGACTACTTGAGTCGATAACTCACAACAAGCTAGAGTTACATTCTACTCATCTAGTGTTCGGAAATGCAACCAAAATCAAACCAATAAGGACTTATTTCTCGTAACCCACCAGAACCACATATTAGTGACCACGTAAAGGACGACGACTTAACTGGTATGGAATCTTCGGAATGAAACCTAAAGGCAAAACAACAAAGGTGTAGCCCCAAAATAAAATAGACAGATGATACCAAAATATTCCAAGGAGGAATGGACAAAGAGTACGATGAAATGACTAATTTTTGGTAGTATGATAGCAGAGAGTGAGGAATCTTCAGGGGATGTTCAAGGACTGCAAGCACCAGTCTTTTGCTAATGATCTGACCTCCTAGCCTCTAACATTGTACTATCAAATGCCCCAACGCAAGTCGGACATGAAGAAAATTTCCAGCTTAAGTGGGAACAAACAGTTATCTTTTTTTTATTGAATATATATGTGTCTAACCAATTGAGTTATGTTCCAGATATCAGACAAATACTACTAGAAGTTAACGGCTTTGAATTTGGGAAGAAAACACAATAAAGGTAGCTCTAAAACTTCGTATTTTCCCTTTTTACTCCATAATTTCAGTGTATTTAATGCATATCAATACACACTGAATTTAAAAGATCAAAAACTTTTTTAGACCCAAACTTGAAACTTGAAATACACTTTTTTAAACTTCACCTCTTTGGGTTCTTTTATGTTTCTATCTCAGTGGATTTTTCTTTATTAGTCTTTGTGCAATTATCAACTCTCTATTTGTCCCAATTGGAGGAACCCTGTTACCAAATTAGCCTCTTCTTCATTCCAATCATAAAAACCAAGCACTTTTTGATTTATTTATTTATTTATTTATTGAAACTAATGAGCACTTCTTTTTAAATATTATCTATGGAGTACATACAAATTTAAATAGATTACAGATCTTAAATACCAAAGAATTTGAGTGGAATTTTAAAAATATTTATCTCCTAATTTTGTAGTTGATGTAACTTTGAGTTTACATATACTCATAAATTGCAGAGTACGAGGCAAGTAGACAAATAACAACAATATAAAGAAAAAAAGACAATTTGAAACTTAAAAATTTAGTAACTTAGGGGAGACGGAAGGATACAGTGAGACATATGATTGATTGAAGGCTTATATCAGGTCGCACTACACTTCTTATAAGTAAATCCAACCACTACCAACGTTGTGATTTCATCGTGGTCGCTGTCCCCACTTCCACAATTGCCTGCTTTAAAGCTTTGTGGAATCTTGTAACAAAATGCTTTCACCTTTTGCTTTCCCTTTTCCCCTTCTTCTGGTTCTAGCATAACTGAAGTGAAAAATCAGTTTAATTTTGTATCTAATAGAATCTCTAGTTTTGCATCTACATGTGAGTTTGAAAATAAGAATGCCTAAAAGATCTACAGAATTAAAAGTATTGGAAGATTCTTGATTGGATCTAGGCTGCAAATATAGTATAACAAGATTCCAATATTGCACAAAAGGACTGTTAAAAACATGTAATTGAAAGCGCATCCATCAGTTTTTTGTATGATTAGTATCCAAGCCAATAACAAACTATTGCTCCACAAAACGAAAGAACAGAAGTAAATGGATCAGATTGTTTCAATTAATTTACTTGAACTATTTGATATAAAATTAAAATTTAGAGGTATAAATTCTTGGTTCAAGCTTGTATTCATATGAGTTCATCGTATTTCCGAAATGAAAGGCCCACGTCGCCATATAGAAAAGAAAATGTACGAGGAACAGAACCAAGCATAATAAGGGTAAAAGTCATCAGCAATACGACAGAAGCATGTACTTTTTTGATGAGCATCGAATATGTTCAGTTCCTTTTAGCGAGAACTGAAAAGAAGAGAGAATCTTACATAGGCTCTGTTCAATCGGGTCAAGTTGTGATTTTCTTGAAACGGTACCAGTGCTCCTGCATGCTCATGTCCACCCACACCTGCATTTTCTTTGTAGAAGTTAATATTTATTTAATTTTACACAAAATAATAGAAACAAATTTTAATGTGAATGGATTTCTAATATTTTAAAGAACAATTATAAAAACAGATACTTTTGTAGAAAAGATTAACCATAAAGCAAGGTACAAAATTTTTAAAATCAATAGAAACATACAGACTAAAATGGAAGAAAGTCCAAGTTTCAAACCCCATGAACCGTATTTCAACTCCTTTATCAATACTTTGAAAATATAATAATATCGATGTTTCACCTATACCTTCACCAACATTTTCATCAATGTCTCGTAAAATCAAGATGTGAACATTCGATTGACACCTATGTTCAAAGTTTTGTTGGGAGTTGTCCCCTTTTAGTCTAAATTAAAATTACATTATGAGAATATATTTTTAATGACTAAATTTTATAATAACAAAATTTGAAAGTACATGAACAAAAGTAAAACAAATATAAAATAAGTTTCAAAATAGAAGTTCAATCTTTTAACTTTTCAATTTTTCTTTGATTCAGTAAATGCTTTCATATTCTTTTGAAATTTGATAAGAAAGTTTGTGTCATCAAATTATTATTATTACTACTACTTCATTAATAATATATTTTACACTTTTTCATAGATAAGTTGCGTGTCATCTGTTAAGTAACATATTTATATATTCCAAATATATTAATAATACATTTGACTTTGTGTGAATGAAGTTCTTTCCGAAGAGACCTCATTAAAAACTTATAATATATCAAGAATAAAATTGGAAAAAACTTAAAAAAGGAGGACCAAATAGAGAATCACCTGAAAAGAGTACTGAAGACATTGGTATGTGCCCACTTTTATCAAATTCCATCCCTCTTTGAGCCCCCATCTTCCACCGCCACAACTAAAAAGTATTCAAAAAAGTAAAAGTAGATTTCATTTTCAGCAAAGATAGGAGAAAAGCTTTCAAAGACTTAACACTTATCTTTTGTTGCCCAACATACTCGGAAATCTTTCTGTCATAAACTAGGTACTTAATATTCTCATATGGATGAACTTTGAATATGCCCGAGTTCCCATCTGATCACTGCTGGAATTAGAACAAAAAGACTTTAAACTGTAATATAATCCACTTCAAAATTTAGTCAGCAACTCAACACATAAATTCATCATAGAAAAGCCAACAGTATTTCCTCAGTCAAATCCTGATTCGTTTACAAATCAAAAGAAAGCTTTTAAAGATATTCGATTTCGCGTTCCCCTTTCTAGCCATAGAAAATGGTAGATATTCTTGAATTTTAGTTCCACGCCATGCAGTAGTACTGCTACTTGCTGCTTTATTATCCCACTCATATCCTACTACATGTAAAAGGTAGTACAGCAGCATAGGAATTTTATCCTTTCCTTCTATTCATGGCTATAGTATATCATGTGGGATCTATAAAATAAATGAAAACAATAGATACTCATGTTACAAGAAATTTTGATCAATGACATGCATAAAAACATATATATACTAAAAAATTAAGAAACCAATCAGCTGGCGGATCGATCTGAGATAATTGATTTGACGAGAGGAGAAGACAACAAAAATTAAAAGAGCGATTGGCAGGTTAGAAATCTAGAAAGAGAGCGGATCGAAGATAGAGAGAGGAATTAGAATCAATGAGTGGGATTTCTGTGTTAGAGGAAGTAGATGAAGAAGGAAATGAGAATGGGTGGATAGACAGAAGAGAATGGTTGAAAATTACTCTAGTAGAACATATTTTTAAATGTCATTTTCATACTACAAAATTTTATTTTAAGTAATTAAAAACATGTTTTAGAGTACTCTAAACACAATAAAGTAAAAGTGATTTTAAAATTCTATATGTATCTATGAGATTTTAAAATCACTCTCGAAATATTGAAAAAGAAAGAACCTATCAAGTCTCTAAAATGTATGCTATCCTAGCTCTATAAAATTAAATCAAATTGGTTAAGGCTCAAGTAACTACAGGAAAACGATACGAGTGTAATACACGTCTCAAATAATGCTCCAAATTTCAATGTCTCCACGAACTCTAATATATTTTAAAAAATAAAAGAAATAATGCATCAAGTCTCTAGATGCATGCTTGCCTTCCTCTATAAATACCAGCTCATCTTGAGTTAACGAAACTTGCATTCCAAGTTGGATTACCAATAGCTTTAACATTGGTCTAAATTTATTTCTTCAGAACTCTGTTTCTAACTCTCTACTCTCTATGGCTCCAGTGCCTAGTTCTCCCGTCAACGTAGGACACATCGATGATGTGCAAGAACTCAGGAAGTTTAAGCCCAACACTATTCCCGAAAGATTTATCAGGGGCGTACAAGAGAGGCCAACACCACCAACAGCTTTAATCTCATCCTCTGATCTTCCCACTATTGATTTATCCAAACTTTTAAAAGGAAACAGAGATGAAATATTGCAGCTAGCCTCTGCCTGCGAGGAATGGGGATTTTTTCAGGTAAAGACTAATCGAATATTCTCTTTTCAGTCAAAGCTTAAGAACAGGCAATGGAAACTAAGGCCTTGGTAATCTTTTAGGTAATTAATCATGGAATTGCTCTAAACCTACTAGAAAGCATTGAGGGGGAGGCAATGGAATTCTTCGGGCTACCTTTGGAGGAAAAGCAGAAGTACCGAATGGCACCGGGCACAGTTCAAGGATACGGGCAAGCTTTTGTGTTCTCAGAGCACCAAAAGTTGGATTGGTGTAACATGTTTGCTCTGGGGGTTATACCCGACTCTATAAGAAACCCTCTATTATGGCCAAAGAAGCCAACAAACTTCAGGTGGTTTTTTGTAATTCTAATGTCACCATTGAATTAACTGTTCAGCTACTTACAATCATACACCATTTTGCAGCAATACTGTTGAGATTTACTCTAAAGAAGCAAGAAAGCTTTGCCAGAATCTATTGAAGTACATAGCTTTAGGCCTTGGCCTAAAAGAGGACGTATTTGAAAAGGCGTTTGGGGTGGCCGTACAGGCAATAAGGATGAATTACTATCCACCATGTTCGAGACCTGATCTTGTTTTGGGGCTGAGCCCACACTCCGATGGAAGTGCTTTAACTGTTTTGCAGCAAGGAAAGGGCAACTCAGTAGGGCTTCAGATCCTTAAGGACGACAAGTGGGTTCCTGTTCAACCTCTCCCAAATGCACTTGTGATCAACATTGGCGATACAATGGAGGTGTGAATGAAACTTTGTCTAAATAAAGAAATGATTTTTTATCTTACAACAGAGACTTGACTCCTTTCTCATTGATTTATATGCAGGTTGTTACAAATGGCAGGTACAAAAGCGTGGAGCACCGAGCTGTGACTCACAAGCAGACTGACCGACTTTCGATAGTCACATTTTATGCACCTAGCTATGACATAGAGCTTGGACCAATGCCAGAATTCGTGGATAAAAACAATCCATGCAAATATAGAAGATATAGTCATGGAGAATACAGTAAACACTATGTCACAAACAAGTTACAAGGAAAGAAAACCCTGGAGTTCGCGAAGATTCCAACCAAAAACTCCTACTAAAGCATCACAACTTTCCCACCTAGGGATACCAATGCTCGATACTGTATAGAATTTAGCAGAGCAGTATTGTGACGTCAGCATTCAGCTAATATTAGGGGGAAAATATCAATCAACATGCAGAATGTACATCTTGTCTTTACTTATTTCTAAATTTAAATGGGTTGTACAGTTAAAAGTTAACTCTTGCCTAGTTGAGCGTTGTTAGATTCGACAATTTGGTAATGGGGCCTCTGAGATTTGACGCTTCTCATGTCAAGTCATGTTCCATCTTTTGGGATTTTCAATCAAATAGCAGCTGTACTAGTAAGAAAAACAAGTGCAACATGACGAAGACGTCCCTTTTCAACAAGATTCTAAGAAGCATCTACATATGGGGAACTAACAACATAGTACGCCACCAGATTGTTTTAAAGCCACCAAGATAAGAAATGGAAGAGGCATCTATGACTATAATTTGGGTAAAGGACTTCTTGGGTAGTGGCCATAAAAGAGCTCATAAATTATGAATTTGTTCACATCTAGTGCTTCAATAGAAACATAAACTATTTCACTAATTTTCTTTTAGTTCTCTGAGTGCTAAGAACAAGCAGTCCACAAAGCGAACCATGACTAGACCAAATGTAATAATGTCTTGAACAAACTAATTGAAAGAGCCCATGTAATAATGGCTTTTCATGCTGACCCACCACAGAGCTGGGCAGGTGAGCAAAATAGTGTTTCATCCACCAGAAGTTCAATCAGAAATGGCAGAGAGTGCCTAATGAAAGTAGTAATCTCCATTTGTTAGAAAAAGTTGAAGGGGCACAAAGGGTGCAGATAAACTTCACATGCAAATATCGAAGTATCTGATAAAATGTCTTGGAAGAGATGGAGGAATAACCAATTAGGAAGTTATAACTTAGAAGTTAAAATTCCTAATTACGTCCTGAAGATTTTGTTTGACTAGGATCCAAATTCGACAAACATTTGGGCCCGTGAATTGTAACAAGTATTTGAGGAGAAAGACCAAAATGTTCAACGGGGGAACAAAAAAATCTAATTTAGAACATCTTATTGTCATAAAAATGTCCTATACCTTGAAACTAATCCATCTGGTTGAGGATAAATTTACTCGCGTTCTAGTGGACGGCATACAGCAGAAGGAAAAGAAAAAATGGAATTTGAAGTCCGGTAATAGGCGGAGAAATTGTGAGTTGAGTTGAAAACATCAAATTTAGTTAACACGAAGTATATATGTAAAACTTATTTCTTTATTTGGTAGCTGTGGGAATGGATTAGAAATAAATGGGCAAAAACGGTCAAGTAAGATTTGAAAGATTGACTAACAAATCATGCAAACATAGTTAAATTCATGCTAAAATATAATTGTTAGCCAGTGAAATCATAATGAAGTCCACTTATCTTTATTGGAAGGAAACTAAAATTTTGGATAGTAAAATTCGACCTTCAATTGGTGTTAATGATAAAGACTAAACATATTTAGATTTCAAAATTGAAGATATAATTAAAAAAATTCTAAGTTTAGAAACAAATGATAATCAAAATACGGAGGCAAAGAAATTTATAATTCGAAAATTTTTCTTGCTGATTGAAAACTTATGAAAGGTTTAGCCTAGTAACAATAACAATAACGAGGTCCAGGTGAACAAGTGCATGCTGTCATGTTCACATTGTTAGTGCCAATACAGGCGTGATGATTGTAAGCAGTCAAAATCACTCAACAAAAGCAATTATAAAATGATTGCAGTAGAAGAATTCCTTATCATGCCTCACTTACCATCCAAATGCATTAGCAATCTCAACTAAGACATTGCTAATTTTAACATGGGCGTCTGCTGATTTCCAAAATTACCATGGGCAGTGCTCATGCCTTAGGATCCAAACTAAAAGCTAATACTTAAACTACTCCAAACGCTAAGCAGTTGGGAGAAAAGGGTAAAACAGATTAAAATTGAATATTAAATGTAATAAAGTTCAAACATGGTTCTGGTCCTATACATTTATCATTATCTATATGTGAATTTATTCCCCTTAACATTTACTAAATGTCACATTTAGTTTAGTAATAGAAGTAATCATCTATATCAAATGGTGTGCTATGCTTTTGTTTTATTTTTAGAATATTACTTTACATGTGGAGTGATATTATTCAAACCATTAAGGTTTCTCATATTAGCTTGTATCATGCCATTAGAAACTGAAGTATAAAGCTTTGGGGGGTATATTTCTGTTTCTTGATACAGAAATAAAATGTTGTGCAAAAAACATATAAATCCTCCAAGTAGGGGAAGGCATCATGAAAGGAAACCGGGGAGTCATCGGAATGTGGCCGTAATTATTATGCGTGAAAAAAAGACCAGAGCCCACTACGAATTGATCCAATGCCCACGAAGAGGAAGTCCTTTTCCTTCTTAATTTCTCTCCATTTCCCATCAGTAATAGTGGAAACGTCAAATTAATCCTTCACAACAACTTGCTTTCTTGATGTATAAAAGGAAGATGATCTCAGCGCAAGGGCGCCAAAATCCCACCCTCACAAAACTTTATTTAGTTGCAGTAGTCAAACATGATTATTTCAATGATTGAGGTATATAATTTTAATTCACAAAACATTAAAAGATACAAGATGCAAGATGGAAGATGCATGATCAAGATATTATTTGTCTAATTACTCTTGGATACCTCGTGATTTGGGAATCTGAAGAGGACCGTCAATTTTGCTTCACTAACTTCTCCATTCTTTCTTCCACTACTCCATAGAATCGCAATCGCTCACGTTTTGTGGCTTGCTTTTCGCCATGTACATTCCCCCTTTCTTTCATTTCGAATCCCGACCATTACTGTTCGATCATATTAAAAAAACAACAAGAGATTCATTCACGTGCAAAAAATTAACAATCGATAAAACCTCACCGGCTATATTGTTGTCAGGAGTTGATGCGGCATTGTGGTGCGTTTGCGCGAAAATGTTCCATCAACGCCTGCAAATTTCAAAGAAATTTCAAAATGAAAATGGCATCTCATCTACACTCCGTAAATTTTTCATAAAAACATACGTATTTCCACAAAATCTGTCCATCGTTCATAATTACCGATCACTCTTTTCCTCAGCGAGAGAGAGAAAGAGAGAGAGAGAGAGAGAGAGAGAGAGAGAGCGCACCTTTGGCGGCAAAAGATTATCTGAATCTCCGTAGAACGATCGAAGGAAGGAAAGCTCATTAATTAAGGAATAAAATTATGATTTAAAATTTTAAAAATCAAAACTTTATTATAAGACTTAATCTCATTAGGGTTTCGAAATTGTTTTAGATTTTTTAAACTCATGAAATAAATATTTTCTTCGATTTTTTTTATTTATAATTTTATACTAACCTATTAATCAAGATGAATATATTATTTAAAAAATTACTTAAAATAGTAAATAATATGAATACTATTTTATAAAAATATATTTATTGATATTTAACTATCTATAATGATAATGAATTTATAAATAATTAAAATAATTATAAAACAAAAAAAAAACAGCAATAATATTGATAATATATTAATGAGAAAAAAGTGGTTATCCAAAGTCGTAGGCTTTGTTTGAGGCAAAACAACTAAGGAACTAATTATTCAATAATAAATATGCAGATGGAAATTACAGTAATAAATTCAATTATTTTCACTCCATTTGCCCAATTAAGCAATAATCATCTCAACATTGGGATTTTCAGATTTTCCATCAGTTTCCTAATAATCATATAACAAGCATCTCAACTTGCTTAGATGGAAAAATGGTTCGAACAGATCGATTTTCTCAGTTTAATTTATACATTCAAACTCGTACCGCCAGCATCTCCATTGTCATCGTCATCGTCATTGAACGATTTCCTTCTAGAGCTATTTCTAGTCATAAGAATCGTAACACTTCTTTGACGAAGAAGGCTGGATCATGCTAGGTACCTGAACAAGCTCGGGTTATCTTTGTCTCTTTCCAGATAGTCTCGGGTGATTAGATCTTCAATCCGCTTTTTGATTACCTTAAAGTCGGGCTGCAAATTCCCATTTGTTTCTTTTTAGATTCCGAAAGTTAAAAGCAGATTAAAAAATCAAAGTATCGAGATGGAAGTGTTTGAGAGAACCTTAAACATGCGACCGAGTTGCTCGACACACTCTAGCACCAACTGCTGGTGACTCAAAACTTTCCGACTCTTCATAATGCGAACAATCGATGCGTCAATCGCGTAACGTCTGTCCTTGTCGACATCTTCAATTACTTTCTTCTTCTCATCCACAGGTGGAAGAGGAATCTGCACAATGGAAGATCATAATACTGCATCTTACAAGAATTGCTACGGTTAACAATGAGAAGGAAATATTAACTAGTGAAGAATTAGAACCTTGATCCTCCTCATTTTGTCTGTAAACTTCGTATTGAACTCGAAGTGATCGGATGGCGAGATAGTTTTAGTACTCGGCTCCTTGTTAAGTATCTTATATTTAGCACACGACAAGGAATGGAGTAGTCTCACAACGTCGTCATCGTTCAAATTTAGTTGAGTCATAATTTCTGAGTAACTAAGTCTGTCAGAGGAATTGAACAGCAGCAAGGCAGAAGCCTACGAACATACAAAAAAAGTACCATATAAATCAGTAATAAGGACTTGGTGGTAGAACAAAACAAACTCCGAGTTCCCGAGAGTTTCGATTAGGTTGATGTACTAACCTGATAGGTAGTCACAATCAGTTCAATTGTTTTTGGTTCAAACTTCCCAATGATGTTACAGATACCCAGAGAGTAAATCCATGTAAGCTTCCTGTGCTTTGTTTTAGTCTGATAAAACTCTTTGAAAACCTCAACACATTTAACCTGAAATTCAAGAAAGAAAAGATTAAGATAAAAGTTGTACAACTTGTAAATGGTCAAACTTGAAACGAGACCTGTGCCTACCATCTCGGCCGGAAGGTTAAGATCAAAGGACTTGTAGCTAGGCCAAAACCCTGTAGTCAGGACCGTAACCGTCAAGTCGATCCCAGGATGTGCTTGTGGATTAGTGGTAAGATACTCCTCAAAGCTGGCTTGATTCTCCTTTGCCAAAGTCAAATCTGTGACCTAAGGAGACCCCAAAACAAACACATGTAATACTTCCACAATATCAAGCACTTTAAATCACAACACAAATTTGGCATACCATGCCCTCCATCTTTGAGGTGAACTGGCCACCACATTGCTGTTTCAGTTTAGTCAGAATACTTCTCTCGTGCTCGTCGTTGGCACTCTTATCAAAAAGAAGCCGTCGAGCAAGCTTTTTCCTGCAAATGGTTATGCAATTTATCATCATTATTTCAATTCTTATAGTTTATCTCTAAAACCAATAAATCTTAAGATCTAGAGAATTACCGATAAAATTCAGCGAAAAGATCTTTATCACTGATGTAAGCAAGCAACTTCACGACCTGCAAACAGAGAAGGGTTATAATCATAACATCATCCATAAATCATCAAGGGCAGAAGGAATAGAAGATGGGAAAGAAGAATGAACCTTCTCCAGAGTCTCTTCAATGGCTTCATCACTCAGTTTCTCACTTCCACCTTTCTTAAGAATGTTATCGCAAAAAGTTGCAAGTAACTCTGCACTTGAACTTCCAGCAACGCCCTTGTTGCAAAAGACCTCAAAAGCCTCCTTGAGAGCCTAAATAGATGCACATAAAGTTTTAGTGACAATTTAACTCTTAATAGTTTTATATCACTATATCTTTTTCTCATAACTATGTGTACCTCATACTTCGCACATTGTAATAGACTAGTAAAAAACAACATACCTTATGGAAAAGTGTATGATTTTGGAAGCAGTTGTTCACATATGCCAAATATTTATCATGCAGTTCGATCACTTTTCTTACGAACACCTAAAACACAGATCATAGTTTTAAGATACCATGTGAGAGAGCAAGAGAGAGAGAGAATGCAAGAATGTGACAATGGAAGATTACCTGTTCCTGCAAACCAATGACATCCCTCTTCTCAGCCTACAGAGAAGGAAAGAAAATAAGTCCTTAGCCACAATAAAAATAACCTTTCAAGATTGGTATAGGAAACTCATTAAGTGTTCATGAAAAGTACAGCTCAATCATAAAATCAGCACCACAGCCTAGATCAAGCACTGACGGAATTAAACCTTTTCAAAAGCACACACTCAGTTCCTAATAACGATTCAATGATGAGGATGATAAGAACAATAACACACACAATTTGCTTTTACATGGCTACCGTATTGGATGCCGAAATTATAACATGAACATCTAAAATAGTCTTGCAAGCAACCCAAAATTTCCAAGAAATATATGAAAATAAAATAAAGAAAGAGAAAATTTTAAGTAACAAGGGAAAATAATTCATGCAAAATAAATAAGAATGAGAAAAATTACTGCTCATCTATGTCATCTGTCAACCACATCTCTAATCTCTGATAAGAAGAAACGCTCTCTGCTTGAATGGAAAATTCCTTGAAGACAAAATATGTAGGTTTTACTAAAAGTTTTAACAATAATGCACCTTTAGGCTAGATGTAACCATTGCAGACTACCTTGATAATAATTAATTAACAATCCAAAACCTGTTGGCTGATGATCAACCAAAATGACGAAACTTAAGATTAATGTAATGGTATAACGCAAGAAATGAAAAAAACGTATAGCAGTTAATAACAAACCTTCTTGTTGCTTGCTGCATCTTCTGCTTGTTTCACCAAGGCAGTTCCCTCAGTAGTAACATGCTGTATGATAGAAATTTTACAAGCTCATAGGAGTTCAGAAGA